TGGGGCCCGCCACAGGCCACAGGCCACAGAATATGAAAGCCCCTGAGTTTGAAAATGATGCCCCTGAGTTCCCTATGAAGAGGGATTTATAGCTGTGGGAGGGAATAGAGATCTCTTACCAACTCTCAGTTGGGACGCGGGTGGCGCTGTGGGTTAAACCACTGAGCCTCTTGGGCTAGCCGATCAGAAGGTTGGCAATTTGAATCCCCATGACGGGGTGAGCTCCCGTTGCTTGGTCCCAGCTCCTGTCAAGCTAGCAGTTCGAAACCACATCAAAGTGCAAGTAGATAAATAGGTACCACTCTGGTGGGAAGGTAAATGGCGTTTCTGTGCGCTGCTCTGGTTCGCCAGAAGCGGCTTAGTCATGCTGGCCACATGACGCGGAAGCTGTACGTCGGCTCCCTCGGCCAATAAAGCAAGATGAGCACCGCAACCCCAGAGTCGGCCACGACTGGACCTAATGATCAGGGGGCCCTTTACCTTTACCTTTACCTTTACCTTTACCAACTCTCAGCACCTCCAGCAAACTACAGCTCCCTTTTTGGGGGGAGGGGGAGCCATGACTGTTTAAAGGGGGATCACTTTAAATGTGTGGTGTGAATGGGGCCTTAGAAAGAGAGGAGGTAGGTGGTAGTGTGGGGAAGATAAATGGATGAACTGACCCACTTTTGAATTCATCCATCACCAGCATGTGATTGCTGCAACACATTACTCTCAGGCAGTCCTTTTTTTCTGGGAGGACGCAGGGGGATACATACCCCTAAACATTTTGTAAATCTTAGCTTTGGCCTCATTGAGGGGCAGTATTTCAATATGAGTAGGAAAATGAGAGTGCCCCTAAACATATTTTTTCTTTAGGGAAAAAAGCACTGCTCTCAGGGAACAGTGTCCCCATGGAAGACAAGAAGTTGGCTGACCCCCTCAGCTAAGAGCAGCTCAGGGAAGAGGCGCCAAGAGTGGGTCAATATACCACCCAGCTACCCTGTGGCTTCCATGCCCACAATGCCCACAGTGGATTTTTAAAAAGCCACTTTTCTCAAATGGCAAAACCTGAATGGAAAAAGTGAAAAAGCACAATGTAATTGTCTGAAGAGGTAAAAGCCTCAGGAAAGAGCATTCTGTCATCTGAGGCCCGCTGCCAGTCAGCTGTTCAACTCCACCAAAATCAGTAAGTTCCCCAATTAAAGCCTGAAATAGTTTTCTGGAGCACTTTAATTCCAGGGCACTTGGAGGGTCAGGATTCTGTTTCATGAATCCGTCAGTCCACCCATTCCCCACCTGTCCTAGCTTAAGGCAAGACCAGGCTTCTCCAGGAGTGCCAAACTCCAAAAACTACAAAGAGGAAAGGGACTGGATGGAAAGTGTCAACAGGGAGGTCAGAGAAGGAAATGAAATGCAGTCAAGCACAGACAGTGACCCTTATGTAACATACAATGGTAATTCACAAAACAGTTGTTGATAACACAGGCATCCTGGCGTCGGTAAGCCAATTAACATATAAAATCTGCTAAAAACAACATCTTCTCTCAGTTCAATCTGCAACCTCTTGATCCATTGCAGTTCAGCATTTTCACATGTCCGTCTTGGTTCGAAGTTCTTTTGCCCCAGGATGGCTGCTGGATTGCCGATTTGTCAGGGAGTGTTCATAAAGAGGTTCCTGGGAGATTGAAATTGCTCCCCTCACCTGCGGCCTTTTGAATATTTTTCAGTTCCAGCGTCAGTTTTGGATCCGTTTTATTTCTTTTCTTAGCACAGCCCCTGATCGCCACCAAGAACAGTTCCTTGGAGTGCCGTTTCCCTGAGATTAGGTCAGCGGAGTGGAGATGCTGATTTTACTGTCTGGGAATCTAAAATGCGAAGATTCCCCCATCCCCCACCCCTCGCTAGCTCCTGTGATGTACCCAGTGCAATATGTTCTTTTCAATGTAGCTTGAGGGAAAGGAGAGACCAGAAAATGGAGGCGACGGCCTGTGAGCCCACAAATCTCACTAAGTGTCATTGAGTGACAGCCTATATCAGCCGTGCAACTCTGACCAATGGCTTCAAGAAAGGAGATTCCGACTAAACAGGAAGAACGTTCTGACAGGAAGAGCTGTTTGACAGTGGAATGGCCTTCCGCAGTAGGTGGTGGACTCTCCTTCCTTGGAGGTTTTCAAGCAGAGGTTGGTGGCCAAGTGTCATAGATGCTTTAGTGAAGATTCATGCTTTGCAGGGGGTTGGACTAGATGACCCTCGGGACCCAGCTCTACAATTCTATGATTCTAAGTTTAAAAGACTGTTTAAAAATAAAAAAGAAGTCCTTCTTCACAGAGCATAGAGCTAAATTCTAGAACTCGCTCCCACAGAAGGCAGGAATGGCCACCAACTTGGGTGGCTTTGAAAGAGGATGGGACCAATTCATGCAGGAGGAGAGGGATATCGATGGCTGGTCAGAGGTAGTAATGTTTCCGAGTATCAGTTGCTAGAAACCACAGGAAGGGCACGGGCGCTTGTCCTCCTTGCTGGTTTCCCACAGGCATCTGTGTGGCCATTGTGAGAACAGGATGCAAGACCAGGGCTGGATCTAGACACATCAAAAAAACATTTCAGGAAAACGCATTGTAAACCTCATAATGGGAAATCATGTTGCTGAAAGACGGAACTCCACAGTGCCATCTGGTGTTACAGTGTTATAACGCATTTAAAACAAGTTTTTTTTCTTTACTAACATAGCTAAGTCCTTGATGTTCTTACGTCACATAAGGTTCACAAAGGACGGAATCCTGCTAGATTTAGGAACTTGTACTACTACTTGTATTCGATTATTATTATTATTATTATTATTATTACTACTACTACTGCTGCTGCTGCTGCTGCTGCTGCTGCTGGTGCACCAAGAGTTGAAAGTCTAAAATGTTTCCATCATACTGGATATGTCATTATCCCACAAGATTTCAGCTGATAGCATTTTGGGCTTGTCGCCAATGTTAGTCCTGCTCAGAACACAGACCCTGAAATTAATGGGCATGACTCATATACTGTAACATTAACTTCAGTGGGTCTATTCTCAGTAAGACTTAGTTGGATACAACCCTGTTTTTATTTTATTTGTTTGTTATATTTATATCCTTCCTGAAGATCTCGGGGCAGGTTATACAGCTCTCTCTCCCCTGCCCCCAAATCATCATCACAACACACCTGCAAGGTAGGCTAGACTGAAATATAGCGACTGGTCACCCAGTTTGTGCAGGTCTCTCCAGTCCTGGCCCAACAATCTTAACTGCTCCACCCTGCAGGGATGTGGTGCCTGTCAGTACAGTCTGTTCCCAGAGGGCTAAGGCTTCTCCGGGAGGACTTTTGGAAACCTGGACCCTAGCCATTCACACTCCAATCTTACCTCATCTATTATTTTCCACGCTCGGTTTAAAGTGCTGGTCTGAAGCCCTGGAAAGGTTGAGTCCATTGGCCCCAAGACCTACCTGTGCCCAAGTGAACCACCTCACTGTTTACTTCAGATATCTTACTCCAGATCCCACCCTGGTATGAGATAAGATTAGTAAGCTGCCTTGGTGGGGTAGAAACATTTGAATAAGTAGCTAAGTTCCATAGAATTGCAGGGACCCAAAGTCCAACTCCCTGGAATTCCAGAATCACAGCTTAAAAAATCTCTGACAGAAAGCCATCTAACCTCTGTTAAAAAACTTCTGAAGGAATCCATTCCACTGATCAAACAGCTCTTACCCTCAGAAACTTCTTCCTAATGTCCTTTCTTATCATTTGAATCCAGTGGTCCAGGTCCTACCTTCTGGAGCAAGAGAAAACAAGCTTGCTCCACCGTCCATGTGACAGCCCTTCAGATATTTGAAGATGGCTCTCATAGTACCTCTCCATCTTCTCTTCTCCATGCTAAACATACCCATCTCCCTCAACCGTTCCTCATAAGGCTTGGTTTGATCAATGGGGTCTCTCCACCTGGCTTATGAAACTTTCCCCAGCCAGGGCCTGTCCCAACCTGGCTTCCCACCCTCCTTGAACATTTCCGCCTGGCTGGCATGTGCCCTTAGACTCTGACAATGGCACTTGCTCACCTGGTAAACAGCCTCGGTCCAGTATACCTGAAGGAGCGTCTCCACCTCCATCGTTCAACCCAGACACTGAGGTCCAGTGCCGAGGGCCTTCTGGCAGTTCCCTCGCTGCGAGAAGCCAAGTTACAGGGAACCAGGCAGAGGGCCTTCTCGGTAGTGGCACTTGCCCTGTGGAACACCCTCCCACCAGATGTCAAAGAGAACAACAACTACCAGACTTTTAGAAGACATCTGAAGGCAGCCCTGTTTAGGGAAGCTTTTAATGTTTAACAGGTTATTGTATTTTAGTGTTCTGTTGGAAGCCGCCCAGAGTGGCTGGGGAAACCCAGCCAGATGGGCGGGGTATAAATAATAAATTATTATTATTATTATTATTATTATTATTATTATTATTATTAGAGGTGTTTCAGTGTGAATGTAGAAACTGGCCTGCTGCATAAAGGCAAAATCAGCCCTTGTTGCTCTCCCCTCGTTCTTACTTCTGAGGAGAGGCACATCAGATTGTGTTGTCAGCATTCATTAAGCTATTGGCAGCGCCGAGGTTGGCCAGGAAGGGACCACGACCACGACCGCAGCCACCGCCACGACCACCACAAGGCAGCTGCATTTTGCTTTGCAGGGAGACCTTTTTCACTCGTCCCCCAGCAAGACATGAGGTAATGGAGGGCCGAGAGCGAATGAGGCAAATGTTGGCAGGTGTTATCGCTCAGTTTATCACTTCCCGTTTTATTCCTCTTGATTAATCATAGGGCCGGAGGGCTAAAAAAAGCCCGATTAGGTAACAGCTCCTCTAAGCCAAGGCAGGGCTGGTTCATTTCCTAATGTTTTGTCCAGGCGATATATAAAAAAGAGAGAGAACGAAAGAATGAAATAAACCACAAAATGGATTGTTTGCATTTTTGGGGTGGGGTGGGGGAACTCTCACATCCCAGATAAGATTGCTGGAAGCAAGTAGTTCAGTATTGTCCACACTGACTGGCAGCCGCTCTCTGGAGTTTGGAACAGGAAACTCTCCCAGTCCCACCTGCAGATGCTGTAGGGTATTGAACCGGGGACCACCTGAATGAAAGGCAAGTATTCTACCTCTGAGCTATGACCCTTCCCAAATCCGGCTCTATACAATTTTCCTCTTTGTAGGAAGTATTGAAGGGGGTGTTTTTGCCTGTCCCTTCCTTTCAGAGCAGTTGATTTTGCCCACCAGAGATCTTTCAGCCCCATCCCATTCTGTGTTTGTTTAAAACATTATCCCCTGTGTTAGGAGGTATTTGCACATCTGTAGGAATGGTGTGTAGGGGGGTTAAGGTCAGTTGGGATCTACCAGTGGATCTCTTAGTGATTTGCAGTAGATTGACAAGCGCAAATGTTTCACAATTGCAGCAACAACATGATATTAAACAAAATAAATAAACTGGGCTCTGTACACCCCTTTGAAATTCCCTTGAAATATCAAGGGTTGAATCCGTCTCAGTCAATGCAAGAGCGGAAGGACTTCCGCTCACGCAACAGCTTCCGCTCACACAACGACACTTCCACTCCCTCCCTTTCACCTGCACTGTCCTCAGATATGCTCTAGAGAGTTGTGGGGAGGAGAAGATTTGGCAGGGAGGTGCATAAAGGCACGTGGAGGGAGAGGAGAGGAAATTCTGTTGTGTGAGCAGAAGTCATTCTGCGACAACTTAGTTCGATACAACCCCTAAAGGATGAATAAATGCTTGCAAACAAACGAAATTGAATAAAAAGAGACCCAAATTTTCTAAATGTGCACCTAGACATATAAATTAGCAAATGCAAATTCTATGTAAATCTTAATCCTTTGAGCAGGGGTGCCCCATGTGCAAGAGAGAGAGAGAGAGAGGAAAGCCAATTTAACTGAGTTACCTTGCAGTTGCAGTGATGAGGCTTAGTAGCTGTTTCTGGTTACATATCTTTGGAGTGAAGACAGCCTCAGATTCTAACTGGGAGTGGGCGAGAGACTCAGCCCTCAAGCCCAGCTGAAAAATATGGGGGAAACATTTCTTTATGCAGCTCTCCAGTTGCATCTCAACCCTTCCTCACCAATTATTCCTTCTTCCTACACCCCTTGAACTAACCGAGTTCGCTCTGGAAACATGAGAAGAGCTACCTCTGTCCCAGAAACCTCTGCGTTCATTTACGCAACTCAGACCATCTATGAGCTGAGCAGCTGATGGACAAGACTCCACCTGATCCATCATTGTGAAGCCATCTCCTGCATCCGTCCCTTCTCCCTCCTGTCTTTTCCCAATCCCCGGGTTTCCAGTTCCACGCTGGCCTAGTCTGACTACCACTATCCAAGTTAATTGGTTGTTCCCCTGAGGCCTGATCTAATAGCCATACGAATAAAGTTATTTTGAACAGTTGTCCATGAGTTCATCTCCTGGAAAGCTTCAGGCACAGCTGTTGCTATCCACTCTTCTTTTTATTATTTTAAAATGTTACTTCTTTTTTATTTTTATGTTTTTTTTATTAAACTCAAATGGGGGAGATTAAGGGAGTAACGTAAGCTACTCCCCAAATGTCAGGTGCCTGGTCCGCTCCTATAAACCGGCCTTTGTGAGCAGTTTCATTCGTCTCTTTCTCTCGGAGTTGGCAGAGGGTTTGGCAGGCTCCCAAAGGCAGCCAAATGGACGGATTTCTTGGCAGGAACCGCAAGCTTTTGCTCCTTGCCACCCGACACAAGCGGTGGGGTGTGGGACTGAGGGCCAAGGCTGGAGAAGCCACAGGGAGGCCTGGAGGGGTTGGAGAGCCAGTCCCATTAGCCAGAGAGGGGAGTTGAGAGAGTCTGGCTGGGAGCAACAAGCCCAGAGCTGTGGGGAGGAAAGCAGGAGATGTCACAACAACACCACTTTCCCCCTTGAAAACCAATTTGCACCCTTCTTATAGACAATAAGAAGATGTGTTGCCTATTTCCTGTGTTGCCTTTTTGTTGTGGTAAGGAAATTAGACTACAAATATTAACTTCGGTCACTGTTGTGGCAATGGTTGAGTTAACTGGTGTTGTTTTCAGACAGGTTTTTTGTTTTAGTGAGTTGTGTAGCTCAGAGGATTTAGAATGAAAATGCGAACCACACATTTAATATATAAGAAACTGCTTTAGAGCAAAAATAAATAAACAAAGAGTCTCTTGTTATTGTTTCTTTTTAAAAGCCCTTTATTTATACAATTTCAGGAGAACTCCCACAGATAAGTCTGTACTTGTCGTATTTGGTGAAGAATTGCTTTGAGGAATCTGAGCTCCTAGTCCTTATTGTTGTGTGGGGCTTATATTGGAGCAATTACGGTGGGGTGACAATGTAATTTCAATGCATTTCAGCACGTTTAAACCAGCCAAGTCTTCTTTCTCCTCTTCTGGCAGTTATCTTTGTTCAATTGGCTCCTATATTAGGTGGTGTGGGTGTGGGTGGGTGTAGTTCCACACTTTGCTGTTCTCCACATATGGACTGATGTTGAGCACAGATATCAATTTCCAAACAATCTCATGTTTACTTTTTAAAAATCAAGTTTCTAGTCTTTAGGCTTGGTGAAAGAAGCTGGATGGGGAACTGTGACTGAGGAGGACCTTCCAACTGGGTTTCAGCTCCGAGACTCTTGCCCCTTTCCATTCACATTACATATGTGGATCTTTTCAAACTGCCCAAATTACTCAGGATCAAAACACCAGCCAGCTTTGAACAGCCCCAAACCACAAACACACATATCAGTCCCGCCTCAAATCTTCTCCCATTCCTGTCTGGGGGGCAGAGCAGAGGGGAAGACCTGAGGTCAACCCTCAGGGGAAGTGTGGCTTGTCAATTTGTGGCCAGCCACAGAGCCTCCTTCTCCCGCAGCCACATCCGGCCCTCTCTCCACCTCACAGACATTGCCAACCTTGCCCATTTGGAGCTGTCTGCCAAGGTCTGACGTTGACTCATGGACATCACTTGGGAAATCAAAACAGGGAGACAAACGCTTGGGTGACAGAAGCGGGTTGTGTTTCTGAAGGGCCTTGTGTTTCTGAAGCAGCCTCAACAGTGGAAGATGCTTAATGCCAACTCAGACCATTGGTCCACCCAGCTCAGAAGCTGGGAGCCATCTCTTTGTCTCCCCCAGCTGTCAATCCCCTAACATCAAAAGTGTTGCACACCGATAACCAGCTGATTGTCGGGGCTTCTCTGCGCAGCTGATGGTTTACAGAGCAAAAGTGCCGAAAATCAGGCAGTGCCTGCAAAACAACACCAGAAGAGGCTGGCTCCTGGATCCTGCCAGTGGCCCATCTAAACCAGCATCCAGTTCTCACAGTGGCCAACCTGCAGGGGTGAGTTCCATAGTGTGAAATATGCACTTTGTGAAGAAGGACGTCCTCTTATGTGTTCTGCATCTTCCAACGTTCATCCCAGTTGCTTCTTTACCTGCCTCACATCTTGTCATGTAAGATCAGCTTCATTCCCATCAGTAGTGGTCAGCCGCTAACTTAATTAATAACACAATAGCTCCACCCATAAATCAATCAAAGCTATAGACCATGCGTTGGGGATTGGGGGGGCATCATTGGTCCAAGACAGTATTGCCTTTCCTCTCCAATGTGCTGCAGCCAAGTCAGAACTCCCTCATCCGAAACTTATATTTTTGATTCTTAGTATCTCCAGCTGCTCAAGAAACCAGTCCCATTTACTGGGTGTGAACCTCTGATTGGGAAGGATTGCTATTGTGGCTAATTTTCTTTTTTTTGGGGGGGTGGAGATGTCCTCAGAGAAGCAACATTTGGGGAAGCTTCATCCTGGAATATGGCGCAAAAAGGGAAGTCTTGGAGAGAGGGGTTTGATCTCGCCACAACCACCTGCTTCAACTCAAAAACAATGGAAAATAGAGAATATCTGGAGCAACCCTTTTTCTCTCTCACACACACTCACTTACAGGGGTGCCAACCTGAATAAAATATGGGGGGGGGTGCCACGTAAGGCCCATCCTGTATAATCACAAGATGTGGCATGCACACACCATCTGAATGGCAATGTCCATCAACTCGGGGGGGGGGGGCTAGCCCCCTCAAATATTATAGGGGGGCCCGAAGGGACCTTGACCCCTAGGAGTTGACTCCTATGCTCCCTCCCAATTTTTAAAGGAGCACAAACTTTATAGATCTAGCAGGAGATGAGCTATTTGGTTTCTTCACCAGACAATTCTCTTCTACAAAATCCCCCTAAGTTTCCCTCCCCACACTATCCCTTTTAAACATTTTCTACATTTATCCTCCCGCAGACTGACGATGGTGAGGGAGTCTGTACATCAGAACCGGCTGCCAGCTCTGTGGGTTTCTCGAGGGAAGATCCAAAAGGAAATAACATCCACTGAGAACTTGCAGGCCCCAGCTTGTGGCCAGCACCGCCCCCCGGTGGCCATGGTGGAGGGCTGCCTCTCTCCCAGACCTCTCCTTGACCCATGCCAAGTGCTGGCCCAGGCCCTGGAACGTCTCAGGCTCCTTCCAAGGTGCATTTTCCAGCCTGGTCCACCCAGCCCCGGCTTCTCGCCATACGCATAAGAGCCGCCACCCGATATTTCCTGCCGGCTGTGTGCATGTCAGGCCCATTAGCAGTGTGAAATCAGGATCATAACAGGCAGAGACAGGCCTGGAGAGGAGCAGGGCGGGTGGTGAGGGCAGCAGATTCGCCTCCTGCCGGCAATCTTGACCCCTCCTGCCCTTCAAAAAAGCAAAAGCATAGAAGTGATTTAACTGCATTGTATTATTTTATTTTTTTACACCTTTGTATCCTGTCATGGGAAGAGATAGGTGAGAAATAATAATAATAATAATTCCTTCCAGTAGCACCTTAGAGACCAACTAAGTTAGTTATTGGTATGAGTTTTCGTGTGCATGCACACTCCTTCAGATGCATGCACACGAAAGCTCATACCAACAATTAACTTAGTTCGTCTCTAAGGTGCTACTGGAAGGAATTTTTTTATTTTGTTTCAACTACAGCAGACCAACACAGCTACCCACCTGTAAAATAATAATAATAATAATAATAATAATAATAATAATAATAATAGAATTATGAAGTTGGAAAGAACTCCAAAGTTCATCTAGTCCAACCCCCTGCAATGCAGGAAAATAATCATCATTGTTGCTATGTTGTTTATTCTCAGTGCAGACGCATTTAAAGTAATAGAGCTAAATTAGTCATCTCCATTTTTTCCATAATTCTGCATATGCTCAGAGATCTGCGCTGGTTGCTGATCTGTTGTCGGTTCAAGTTCAGGGTGTTACTAAGGTAAAAGGCAAAGGAGTCCTGAACGATTAAGTCCAGTCAAAGGTGATTATTGGGTTGTGGCGTTCATCTCGCTTTCAGGCCGAGGGAGCCGGTGTTTGTCCACAGCTAGCTTTCCGGGTCATGTGGCCAGCAGGACTAAACTGCTTCTGGAGCAACGGAATCACCATAATGGAAACCAGAGCGGCGCACAGAAACGCCATTTACCTTCCCGCCACAGCGGTACCTATTTATCTACTTGCACTGGCATGCTTTCAAACTGCTAGACTGGAAGGAGCTGGGACAGAGCAATGGGAGCTCACCCCGTCGAGCAATCAGCAAGCCCAAGAGGCTCAGTGGTTTAGACCACAGCACCACCCTCGTCCAGGGTGTTACTATTAGTATATAAAGCCCTTAATAACTTGGCACCTACACTTTGGAACACCCTGCCTATTGATATCAGGCAGGCACCTACTAAAACACTGCTGTTTCAACAAGAAACAACAATGTTTTAATGGTTTTTACTAGTCATTTTACTTCTTTTCGTAATTCTCATTGAGGCTGTTGTTGTTGTTTTAAACAAACCAGCGGGATATACATTTTATGAAATAAAGAATAAATAAACTATGGAGTAAACTATGGAACTTATACCCCCAGGAGGCAATGATGGATACCAACTTAGATGGCTTTAAAAGAGGACTGGACAGATTCATGGAGGAGGAGAAGTCTACCATCGATTGCTAGCTATGGTGGCTAAACTCGTGTCTCCACAGTCAGATGCAGTCATGCTTCTTAAATACAGGTTTCGGGAAATCACGAACAATTTTGTTTTGAGTTTGGATGCTGCTGTGGAGGACTGATCTTTTCCAGGTCCTATTCATGGAGATTGTTAGAATTCCTGCTCCATGACTGCAGTCATGGGATTGTTGTCTATCACATGACAGTGTATGTTTTGACTCCACAGAGTGGAAAGTGACGGAGACAGGATGTTTGTCTTACTGTGTTCCGTGAAGTGGGACTATTGTCCTTTGTTTTTTTCTCTTTGCTGTCTGATGCTAGAGAGAGCACATGTTGCAGTGCTCCGTGTGTGTTTATATGTAAATAAAGTAGATTAGCCAAAATGCTGAGTTGCTGAGGTCTGTTACGCATGATGCGCAAACTCTGCGGATCCCTAAGTGTGCCGGTGTCAGTTGGCATCGGTCGCTGTGATGTTCAGGCTGAAGAAAGCTTTTGAAGCTCCCGAACGATCAACCAGGAGGGAGGGAACATGCCAGTCAGGCATGTGTCTCTGCCAGGGTCCTACTCTAGTGTAGGACGAGCTCCTGACAGAGATATCATTGAAGAAGGTTAAATGTCTCCAAGTGACATTTGATGTTACTGTTTGAGGAGCCTGTTCTGCTTAATCCCATCAGCCGTTTCCCTAAGCAGTCTTGGCAAAGCCGTGTGAAACTTTCTCCCCCGATACAAAAGATCAGCTCCTGTACTGGGATTCTGCATTCCCAGAGCAGTGCTAGGATTATTGAACTGCTCTCCCCTGAGAGCTGGACAGAAACAAAAGCAATTTAGATCCAATGGAAATAATATAGGATATATATATCACACATAACACGAGACACTCATGAGATTTGATACTAATTTTAGTGGTCACCTTGGCCGGCTGTTCGGATGTTGGCTGGCCTGCCAAAAGCTAAGAGTACCTGATGATGAACTGAGATCCAAAAGGTGACATCACTGGATCGGCAACCCTGCTTACAGCAGCTTAAAGTCATCCAAGGTCATGGCTGTGAGCCTCGAGCTGTGACTGCAGGAGTCTGGCACTTTCAAACTGTCTCAGGACAGGGAGGAAGATAATAAAAAAAGCTGCATTTTCCAAAAGAAGGATTTAGACATTTCTACAATTAAAGTTTCTGTTTTGTTTTTGCAAAGTGTGTGCGTGGAGGGAAACCTGTTTGAAATTTTATTTATTTTTTTAAAGGCACACTGCATGCGTGCCTAATAGGGTTGCCAAATGTCCTCTTTTTCCAGGACACATCCTCTTTTTCAGGGTTTAAATTTCTGTCCAGGTGGATTTTTTATATTTGCCAAAATGTCTCTGGCTATACTTTCTGGATGAGACATAGACATAACTGGCGGTTGAAGACTTGCTTTCCTCTTCTCTTCTCCTGCAATATATCACAGCTTCTATAGCCTACACATAGAAGGGGTATTTAAAATGAGAGCTGCGATAGCATCCTCTTATTTGCTCTTCAAAATATGGCAACCCTGACCTAAGACAGCCTCCGTTTCAGAGCTGAGAGGAATCCCTTCCAGTCTGAGGGCCACACTCCTTTCTGGATAACATTCCAGGGGGCACATGCCAGTGGTGAGTGGGCGGTGAGGCAAAAGTGGGTGGGCAATAAATGTAATTTTTACCTGTGAACAATAGGCTAGTTTCTGCATATATTTACACATCCCTCTCCATATGCCACCGAGGCAAGGAGGAGGCCTGATCAGGACTCAGAGTCACCTCCCGGGCAGAAACAGAGAGGGAGAGTGCAAAGGCAGCCCAGTGAGGGGTGTGGCCTATGGAGAGGGGGAGTGGCCTCAGAAGAGATCTAGGGGCCAGACTGGGAGCATATTTGGCCCCCAAGCTTGAGATTCCCCACTGTTGCTCTAATGTGTAGTCAGGCAGACCTTCATTTGTGTGTGTGTGTGAAAAAATATGTCCAGGTCAAGAGTGCTTGGTTTTGAATTTTACATAGACCTCCTGATTTTACGTAGGCCTCATGTCCCTCAAAGTTAGGAGAGCAGTCGGGGCCATTGTTTTAAAAGGATGGGAAAGGGGAAGTTGGGAGACCATCCCTTGGGGTGCCCGAGACCATCCTTTTTCAGAAAAGCTTTATTCCTGCATAATATTGGCTATCTCTGAATACTTCAGGAGATGGCTTTCGAAGATTCAGGTTTGCAGTTTTATTTTATTTTCTCCAACACTCACCCCTCCACCCCAAAAGAAAAGGAAAAAATGGAGTGGTGGGGTAAATGTCAGGCTGCAGAAAGCAAGATACTGTGTAAAAAGAAAAGAAAAGCAAGATTGCATTACTTTTCGGCACAGTCCGGGACTTCACACAAGCAGATTTATGGAACGTCTTTCTGAGAAGTGATGGATTTATGGCGGTGATTTTTACTGAAATGGGAGGGAAGGACATTGGGGGGAATAATAAAAGTAGCATAAATCAGGAAGGAAACGATGTTCGGGGAGTGTAAAGCGTTTTGCTCGTAGCGAGTGCAAATAAAACACGTGGAATTGGGACTTGTTGCAGAGAATTGATATTAACAGTCGAAAAATGGTGTGGGGCACATGTGCCCATAGATTTAGGAATCGAGGGAGCTGCCTCATGGCAGGTCAGACTGATTTGTTCCTCTTGCCCAGGATTGCTTGCTCTGAAAGGCAGACCATCTCCGAGAGCCAATGTGGTGTAGTGGTTAGAGTGTTGGACTAGGATCTGGGAGGTAGGTAAAGGTAAAGGGGCCCCTGACCATTAGGTCCAGTCCTGGCCGACTCTGGGGTTGCGGCGCTCAGCTCGCTTTTTTGGCCGAGGGAGCTGGCGTACACCTTCCGGGTCATGTGGGCATGACTAAGCCGCTTCTGGTGAACCAGAGCAGCACACAGAAACACTGTTTACCTTCCCGCTGGAGTGGTACCTATTTATCTACTTGCGCTTCATGCTTTCGAACTGTTAGGTTGGCAGGAGCAGGGACTGAGCAATGGGAGCTCACCCTGTTGCGGGGATTCAAACTGCCGACCTTCTGATCAGCAAGCCCTAGGCTCTGTGGTTTAACCCACAGCGCCACCCAACCTGGGTTCAAATCCCCCACTCGACCATGAAGCTCACTGGGTGACCTTTGGCCACTCACTGTCTCTCAGCCTAACCTAACTCACAGGAAAACCATGTGCGCAGAAAAACATTGAGCTCCTTGAAGGAAAGGTGAGATATAAATGCAACGAATAAATGAATTTTCCCCAGAACCTGCTACCCAGAATCCTTCCAGGTAAAAGCATTGGGGATCAAACCCAAGACCTTTGCTCTGCAGATCACAACTGCAACATCATTCACCGCCAGTCTAAGCCCCATAAGTGTGCATGTCTCCACCCCCATTGTTCAGCCCGGACACTGAGGTCCAGCTCCAAGGGCCTTCTGGTGGTTCCCTCATTGCGAGAAGTGAGGTTACAGGGAACCAGACAAAGGGCCTTCTCAGTAGTGGCGCCCACCCTGTGGAACACCCTCCCTTCAGATGTGAAGGAAATAAGCAGCTGTCCTATCTTTGAAAGACATCTGAAGGCAGCCCTGTTTAGGGAAGTTTTTTATATTTAATGCTGTACTGTTTTTAACATTTGATTGGGAGCCACCCAGAGTGGCTGGGGAAACTCAGCCAGATGGGCGGGGTATAAATAATAAATTATTATTATTATTATATGTGAATGGAGGTATTTTTTGCCTTTACACTTGCTTACACTGATTGCATTTGCCATTTATTGTCCATTCACCCAATTTGGAGAACAAGATCAAAAAGCCCAAGTCCCGATGCTTATCCTTGAGGAGGGCACCAGGTTGGAGGAAACTAGTCTATCGATATAGCTCCAGCATTTGGAAGGAGAATATAATGGACAGCAGCGTGTATTGGAGACAGGAGAGGCAAGAGTCTGGGGTCGTAAATATTAAAAATTAACACGTATGGAAAAGCAAGAAAAGAAAAGAAAAGAAAAGAAAAGAAAAGAAAAGAAAAGAAAAGAAAAGAAAAGAAAAAAGGAGCAATATGTTTTGGTAATCATTTTGAACTGCTGACCTGCCTTGATGCAATGCAGAAAACTCCAGCATTAGGCACCTGTCATTCAAGTCGTGATTAACACATGACCAAATTTTTCCAGCCGTTTAATAAAAGTTGAACATAACATACAGGTATTGTAATTGCTTCCAAATGGCTGGGCTGAAGCTGGTGGGTCTATGGATGGCATTGTGTTTTGCAGAGTAGGTGGGGGGAGAGACACCACTCCACTCAACGGCACACAGGACCCTCCGAAATCCCCCCTTCCTCTCCCTGGCTGTGTTTGAAGGCAGACCTCTCCCCCCCAAAGCAACAACACAGGCACCTGAACAGTCCAGGGAGATTATAGGATGTAGGGCTAGTCTGCTGTTGCACCCCAAGATCTCAACAAAATTCACATAAGCAGACTTCTTATATTGACGAGAACAGCTTAGAGCCTTCAGGAAAAATGTTTCCAGCTTCCTGGTTAAGAACAAGGAGGTCACGTTGAGCACGAATGCTGGCAAAGGCAGCCACAGGGTAAAAATGTCTGGGTGTGTCCCAAACACAGCAAAGTGTGTTAAGGCCCTTCTATTTTAACGGGTAAGACTTAAACATACTCTTAACTCATTTGTGCAAAGCGGGGAGAGGGATTTCCACCCCCAGGATGGCAAAAAAGTGAGGGAGGTTTACAAAACTCTTACCTCTTCTCTCTTCAACTCTTGACCTGCCCGGATGAACATTTCCCTCCAGAGATCCAGCCCCAAGCAGAGGAAACACATCTTCCTCCGGTTCATTTGTCTTCTGTGATCTTGCAGAAGTGATGGGTTTGTCTCTCTGCTCCTCCCTCGCTCTTTGGTTACCTTGGGAGCAAGTTCTGATGGGCCACCTGCCTTTGTTGAGATGGTCTGAGGGGAGGAATTAGATGCAGTTTCTTTTTAAAAGCCAAACCTAACCGAATTCGCCCTTTCCAAAACAGTACGGAAGCTGAAATGCAGCCATCCTTCAAAATCC